GGAATTTAGATGCACTGTTATTAATTGTGCTTAGCCATACATGTTCATATCCCTGAAGATGTATCATGGGGGGGTTGCAACCTAGAAGACACAAATTTAACTAACAAGTTATAAATACATGAGTCAAAAATTCTGGAAAAGTAAAAGAAAAGATTCTTTCATTGTTTTACAAACCCTCCCCCAGGTCCCCTCCACCATGTAGCCCTCGCTTTAGACTCCTGTGATGACAGAAATACCTAGTCACATATCTCTTTTAAACAGTTTTCTCCCTCCTCTGTTTCAGTGCAGTATACGTTATTGAACACATCTTACTCAGTCTGTCCCCAACCCTGAGGTTAGTCGTCCTCGCTCTCGCGCTGTGTTCTTTATATCTCTTGAAAGCTGCTACCATGCATGTCAACTGTGGATTCAAGCAAAATTAAATCCTTGACAATTTCAATCTTTCTTCCATTTATCATGATATTGTTTACTAGCCTAGTTGTGAGATTTTTATCTTCTTTGGCTCTGGTGGCCTAGTGGCAAGAAGCTGTGCTGCAATTCAGAAGGCACAGGGTTCAGCTTCACCGTGGGAGAAGGATGGGCAATCTTCTCCTCTGTTATTAACTACTTCTGATAATCCACTGGAGGGTCAGTTATGGGTCAGTTCTGACTCTGCTGTGTATAACAACAAGCAACACATTGAGGTGTAATATATACTGAAAACTATTGAGCTTCATCAATAAATGTTTGGCATCCTCTTCATTTCCTGAAAGCAATATTGTGGTATCTGGACATTGCTTGATGTTGATAAAGTCGTCTTCTAATCTCAAAACACATTATTCTTAGTGAAAAGTGCAAAAACCTGGAGTTAGAAAACCAAGAAAGGAAGAACTCTGGCAGTTCTTAAGCTGAAAGTAATACTGAAGGATTCTATGGACAAAATACTGAATGAGACAGGCAGCTTCAAAAGAAGATTGGAGAAATACACACTGGATCAACAAGAACTGGTCAATTCAGAATTCTTTCAGGGAACAGCACATTATCAAGAACCAAATGTACTGAAGGAAGAATCTAAATCTGTACTGAAAGGAATTGGGAAGAGAAAAAAAGACTCCAGGAATTAATAGAATGATGTGATTCAACCCACAGACGCAGACCTGGAGGTGCTCACTCCTCTATCCCAAGAAATCTGAAACCTGGATAACCAACTGGAAGACATCCATAATTGTGCCTATTCAAAAAACAAATAAAAGCTGACCTAACAGAATATAAAACTTATCAGACAGTATAATTAATATTACACACAAGCAAAATCTTGGTGAAGATTATTTTTAACTGGTTAGAGCAGGTAACTGTCAGAAATTTAAACTGGATTCAGAAGAGACCATGTGAATGAGGGATATCATTGCTTTGTCAGATGGCTCTTGACTGAAAGAAAAGAATGTCAGAAAACTGTAATTTGTATTCACTCTGCAAAGGCATTCTTTGTGAGTCCTAAGAAATTATGAATAGCATTGAAATGACTGGGAATTGAGGGCACTTAACTGTGCTTGTGTACATGGCCCCAGAAGTAATCACATGAACAGAACAAAGGGATTCTGCATCATTTAGAATCAAGAAAGTTATGTCAGGGTTGTGTCCTTTCAAAAATGTCAGTGCCTACCACATAGTGAACACTCAAGAAATTTTGTCATTTTGTTTGTTGTTGTTATGTGCCATCGATTCACTTGCAACTCATAGCGACCCTATGTACAAGAGCTCTAAACGCCGTTCTATCCTGTGCCAACCTAGCCATCCCAAATGCACTTATTCCCACCCCTCTAGTCACAGAATAGATCCCTCTCATTGAAGGTCTTCCTCTCCTTTGCCGCCCCTCCACTCTGCAAACATGATGTCCCTCTTGAAGGACCAGTCCCTCCTTACAACATGCAAAGTTTGTTCACTTTACAAATACATAAATATGGAAATTGAATTTTCCAAATGAACTAATTTCTCAGTGTTCACACAGGTAATAAGTGGTAGAATCGTTTCAAAGGATCACACTTTTTGATGACCCAAAGATTCCATCAGTTGTAATATTGTAGGCAAGGTGTAGTGACAGGGGGCTGTTTCTTTTATGTTAAGTGCTCTGGATGTGGCCTCATTAGCCCAAAGAATTGAGCCAGGTGGGCAACAACAAGAAAGTCGTTGCTTCCATAGAAGTTTCAGAGGGTATACAGCAATCTCAGTGATTCGCAAGAAACCTGCTGGTTTGTATTATATCATCAGAGACTTTTACAGCTGCTAAGCTTTTTTTCTTTAAAAAATGTTTTTATTGGTTTTATATCATAGCTCCTTTACATTATGTTTCATTCATTGTCCACAGGGCAATTGGTGTTTTATTTTTTTTTTTGGGGGGGGGAAGGATCAAATAGGAAGGATCCAGGCAAAAAGACAGGATAAAATATAATGCATGAGAATGATTGTATGAAACACAATGTGAATGAAGAATAGTGTGAAACAAAATGCATATAAACTTTGTAAGCAAACATATTTAAAAAAAGAATGCAAAATAGAACTGATATGAATGAGTGTATGAAACACAATGTAAATTAAAGATTGTATAAAACACAAGCGTATAAGAATTAAACAGGTGCTGAGCTGAAGGACATCAGACTTGCTGAGAATGAAGGCGAGGAGAAGAGAGTGAAAGTAGAGGTAGTGTAGTGGAGAAAGTAAAAGTACCTTCCAGAGAGAGGAGGGGGTCCCTCCAAAAGGAAAGGGTGGAGTGGAGGAGATGTTGTGCTACTGAAGTCATGAGATTATGTAGCCCATCTTCTTCCTCCTGGGGCCATGCAAAGCAGGTGAATGGTGTGTGAACTAACAGAATGATGTTGCTGGAAGTTCTCACTCCAATCAGCTGTTCAGAATGTCACTGAGTCCCACATGTCTGAAATACTAATCAGGTTGGCTATTTTTTGCCCTCTTGTTTTTTATTTTATCTGGGCTCAGGCTGTGCTCTAATAGTATGACAAGTTCCAGCTAAAACTGGAAGACACTTTATAGTTTTCATTTTCCCTTTAACTCTCCTGTTTTTTACCCTATGATTATTTAGTTACTATCCTACTCCTAACAGGTTAGTGAGGTCAGAACTGCCTGGGTGAAGTGATAGATTGGATATGGAAGCACATTAAAAGTGTGCCACAGAAGACACCCCATAATAAAATATATTCAAAAGAGATCCTTTCATTAAGTTCTAAATAACACATCAACAACTCAAATAAATCCAGAATGAGGGGAACCAGCAGCGAGATGCTGACGTTCACTCAATCACAGCTATGGCTTTCAGGTATAAAACAGAAAACCATCCCAAACTTATGAATGATTTGTCAGGTAGAAATCCAGTACTGTAGCAGAAGACAGGACTACAAAGTGGGCCAACGCCCGTGACTGAGATAATCATGTTGTTATGTGCCCTCAAGCCCACGACTCATAACCATCCTGTGAGCAACAGTTAAGAACCCTGTTCTATTTTGAGCCAGTCTCACCTTCTCTGACAAACTACCCCCATTGCCACAGGGACTGTGTCAATCCATGGACATCCACAATGACAGATAAAAACACTTACAGGTTTGTGACTGGGGCTTTGACCACAAGGGTATTTGTGTCCATGCATCCCTGAGTCAGTTACCAAGATCTCACGTTTAGCTGGATAACATTTGGGTTCTTTTCACTAAGGACATGCCCTGCAGAGTTCCGTTTTTTCCTATCAAGCCCCGCAGGCAAATTGTTCCTCCCTGAGCCTCTTGGAGCAGCAAAGCCACATGGTTTGTCTATTGATCAGAGATAAGTCAAATATCTAAATTTATGTCAATCAAAATGAAGAATTATAGCTGTAGAACTCAGCCTTTCACAAACCAAATGCTTCAATAGAAAATAAGAATTTACGTTCCAGAAGGAAACAAGTATGTCTTTGAGGAAGTACAACCTGACCACTCCTTAGAGTCAAGGATGGTCAAACTTCGTCTGACATACATACTTTGTGCATGTTGCCGAGGGACCAGACATTGAAAAAAGACATCATGTTGGGGAAAAGTGGAGGGTCAGAGAGAGGAAGAATCTCAGCAAGATGGATTGACACTGTGACTGTAGCAATAGAGTGTATCAGAGATCATGAGGATGGTACAAGATTGGACAAGGTTCAGATCCGTTGTTCGTGATGTGACTATGAGTGGTAGTCGATTGGATGGCATCTAACAAGACTGGTTTCTAGATTAGGGCAAATGGTAGTGCAATTCAAGAAAAAGAATATAAAGATATTTCGGTTTGGAAGCAAAACGACCAAAGCAGAGAGCTAGAGATTGCTTAAAAGTTTTGTACGCAGCAAGTAAACCCAAGCTGATTGCACCATCTTTATTTAGTCTGAGGTTCAATGAGGGTGGAAAGAGAGGGATGTGTGTGGAGAGTGGAGCTCCATGGAACTTCTCTTTTAAAGTTAGACCAAGTCTACAAGAAGGAAAAAAAAATCTACAGGTGGGATCAAAAGAACTTTGCAGTAAATTTTTAAAAGTGCTGAAGCTAATAATCCTACCGTGCTCATATGTAGTCAGGGCGAAGTCGTGTTTAACATTATTTTAACGATGGTAGTGGCTTTCCAGAAGTGGCAATCAACTCGGAAGAAAGCATTTCAGCACACGCAAGCCCAGGAGGGCGGGGTCCGTGCCGATCGCAGCGCGCGGCCGCCCTCGGCTCTGGCAGCGGCCTCTTTGAAGGGGGGGGCGGGAAGCTCGAGCCCCAAACGACTCCCAACTCCCGGCCGGGCTCTGCGCTGGGGGCCGCCGCTCCGTTTTCTTGGCTCCCTCTCGGCGACCTCCGGCCGGTAGGTAGCGCTGTGGGCCCGTAGGGGCGGCCGCGGCGCGAGCATCGCTTCCCTGATGCGCATGCTCGCTCCTGCTGCGCTCTAGCTTTTTTTTTTTTTTTTTTTTCCGGGCGGCCCCGGCGGCTGCGTACTGGCTGTGGGATGGGAAGTGAAGCTCCAGCGAGCGGCTGCTGCGAGGCTGTGAGGAGCAGGCAGGGGGAGGCGGCGGCGGCGGTAGCTTGTCGGTGAGCAGCCGGGAGGACCGGAGCCAGGGCGAAGCACCTGCAGGCACGGGCGGTGGCCCCACCATGGCAATACGCAAGAAGAGCACCAAGAACCCCCCGGTCTTGAGCCATGAATTCATCCTGCAGAATCACGCGGACATCGTCTCCTGTATTGCGATGATCTTCCTGCTGGGGCTCATGTTCGAGGTGAGCCCGCTCCGCACCCCAACCGCCCGCCCTGCTTCCCACTCGCCCGGCCCCCGGCTGCCGCGCCAGCCTCTCCGCCCGGAGAGGTTGCGGGGGCTCGGCCCGTGCGAGTGGAGGCGCCGGCCGCTGCCCCTCGGTGCGGGCCCGTCGCTGAGCCGGGGATGCGCAGTCCCCGCGGGCCTCGCCACCTCCCCCGGGGTGGGGGCCGCCCTCGCCCGGTGCTGACTCGCACGCCCCCCCCCCAGCCGGCCGCGCAGTTCCTGGTTCCCGCGAAGGGTTACGTGGCAGCCGGCGAGGGGCCGGCGGCGGCGGGCGGGGGCGGCTGCCGAGCTGCCGAGCTGGCGAGGGGCGGTGGGCGGACCTCCGGGGGTGGCCGCGCGGCTGGCGGTGCTGTGCGCGGGGCTGGCGAGGACAAAGTGAGGGCCTGGCCTCTGGGGGCCGGAGATTGCCCACCCGAGGCCACGGGCGCCAGGGCCACTTGGGGAGCCCCTGAGTTTGGGGGGAACTGCCCGCCACCTATTTGAAGGGCGGTGGCCGCATGGCACCGAGTGATCATGCTGCTCTGCCGCTCCAGAGACGCAACGATTGTTGCAGTAATTGTTTCTGAAAGTCAGTCATTTCATCATCAGTTCTCCAACTTTTTGACCAGATGCTTGCTTTTTAAAAAAAAAAAAAAAAATCTGATACATAAATCAAGATTCTGAACAGCACTACCAGGGCGTCAAATAACTGTCTTTTTGTTTCTTAAAGCATGAGAGAATGGAAATGTCAGGAGTGTGTAAATTCTCTTCCCACACGCTAGTATTTTGATGACTTGTTTAACAGCTGTTGAATGTGAATAATAAACTTTGAAAGATGAGCATGGAACATCCTAGGGGTTGGGGGTTTTTTCTTCTCATTCCCCGGTACACATCCCCGGGTTTTTTTCTGTATAGTATCTAAAATTGTAATTTTCTTAATTATAACTGGTTTTCTTTTCTCTAGAATGTAACCTCTATGAGGGCAAACGTTTTGGGGGTGATTTTTTTGGGGGGGTTTAATTCGTTTACACCTAGTGCCTAGAATGATGTCTGAGACTAGTAAATGTTTAAAAAAAGATATTTGTTGAATGAAATAAATCAATTGTACAAAACTACCTATAACCAGAAAAAGTGTACATGTTTTAAATGGAGTTCACTCTTGCAGTGTTATTTTTGGATAATTTTTAAATTGGGTTTTGCAGCTTTTCAGGATAGAAATATTAATTTCTGATGGTCTGTGTGTATGTGGTTATGCTTGAAACCTCTGTTACAAAGAGTCAAGTTTGAGTATAGTGGAAGGTAGAAGGGAACTTATTCAGACTCAAGCCTAAGCCTTACCTTTGCTGCTGTATTACAGAAAATACCATTACCTCTGGATCCTCATAGCTACTGTTTGTTACAGGGATGAAATAGGATATATGGCAGTTTATAAAGGTTTGTTGTTGTTATGTACCTAGGAGTCAGAACCAACTCATAGCCGACCCTCCAGCGGGTCTTCAGAGGCTGTAAATCAACAGGGAAGGAGATTGCCCATTTTTCACCTGCAGAGCAGCTGGTACATTGTCATTGGACATTTTCAGGTGGGCAGGGAAACTCCCTACCAGGCTACCAGAGAATTATGTGATTTAGACATGTGTAAACTCTTTCTGGATACAAACACGTGTGTGTGTGTGTGTGTGTGTGTGTGTGTGTGTGTGTGTGTGTGAGATTTCAGAGTAGCTTCATGGTAGGAGTTGTGCTGCCAAAAGGCAGGCAGTCCGAATCCATCAGCTCTTCTGGGAAGAAAGATGGGCTGTCTCCTGTGGAATTCACAGCCTCTGAAAAACCACTGGAGGGTCAGTTATGAGTCAGTTCCAACTGGACAACACATAACAACAAAATGTGTAGTTTCCTGTACTGTTAGTAGAAGTAGCATCTTTATTTATTCAGAGTACACAGCCCTACATGGTAAGAATGCCCGATTTTTAAAACCCTAATTTAAGAGAAATAGTACCAGCAAATGCAATGTTTTGAATGAATGGACTATGAATAAGAAATAATACTTAAAAATGGTATAACAAAGAAAAAAAATGGTATAACCTTTTATATGAGACATTTTAACTTTAATCACATTTCTGGAGAAGATTGTCTCCTATACCAGGCCTCAAGTGCTGATTTTTTTTATTAATAGTGATTTTTTTCTCCATACTGTGTCTAGTAAATTTAAATCAACAGCAGAGACATAAATAGAAGTTTTCTTTTAAATCTATTTAAAAGGGGCAGTTAGAGCACTATATGGAAAAAGGTATTTGTACAAGTTGTACATTTTTCTTGCCATATGTTTGCATTTAGGATTTGAAAGTATGTTACTTGCATATGGGGGAAAATTGACATTAATTTTGCTATTTTGACTTTTTAAATAATTGTTACTGAGTATCTTAGTTAACACAATTACAGAATTACAGTGATTGTTCTAGAATAATAGAGAAATTGATATCTTTGCAGTAGACTTGTTAAGCCTTTTGTGTGACTGCATTGAGAAAATGTCAGGATTTTTTGTGACATTGGCAAAGCCATACATAATCTGTTGCTAGCCAGAATGAAGAAACTATGTAGGCATAGTGTTAGTAGAGTGCTCTGGAGCTTAAAGGAGCCTATGTTCCAGTTCAAGTTCTGCAGCTTGATAACCAGGTGGTCCAGAGCATGTCATTCAGCTTCTCACAATTTAAATTTACAGAGGATATCTTTAAAATCGGACTTGTATTAGGTTGCTCTTGAGATGTAAATTAACTACTTTGTATAAGAGTTCTGGTGGCCTAGTGGCAAGATGCTCTGCTGCAATACTGAAGGTTTGTGGTTCAAGGCCATAAGCTGCTCCACAGGAGAAGGATGGGCAGTCTCCTCCCTTGCAGTTAACTGCCTCAGCTGTAGGTTGGTTTCAGCCCCACGTTACGCAACAACCTCATATAATGCCTAGATAGTACTTGGCTTATAAGAGCTATTAAAAAAATACCAGTAGCTGCTGTTATTTCTCAGAAATTTATCAAAGTAGAAAGATTGGAAATGACATTTTTGTGTGAGAGAAGGGCCCCAGTGTTTAACATGTACTGAGATTATATATGACTGCTGAAAATGTTGATAAGAATTTGTCATTTTTGAAAATACACATGATTTTTATAGTAGTCAGAAAATGTCATCTCCTTAAAATTTTGATTTTTAAGACTTTTTTTTTTGTCCACATAATGCATATTGTGGACTATAATACTTTAATGTTTGAGTTCGGAAAATTTGAGCCGTTGACAAATGTAAAAATGCTTGGGAGGTGTTCTGAAAGTGAGAATATAGGAGGTGAATGAGGAGTTAAGGGTTCTCAAGAGGGCGATTTCCTACTTCCTGACTTTGCAGATGTTTAGAACTTTAGGTTGTTTGTATTGTGTGTATTTTAGGGACATTTACAATTACATTAATTTTCTGACAGTTTTGTTGCATTTTTTCAATACAGCTTATTACCTTTGCTTCCTTCTTTTAAAACAGCTTACTCCTCCGTTAGCTGGTGGGAAAATAGAATTTAATACTTAAAACTTGTTTTTAACTTTTATAGATCCAGTCTATGTAATAGTCACATCTTCCTCTAACGAGAATACAAAATAATATCTCTGTATAATGAGAAACAATTACCTAGCCCTAAGTGGTGACCACTTAAAATAATTTTATGGGATCCATGATGTTGTATACAGCATGGAATCAGGTAATTCCTTGAAGTCTTGTAGTGACCTGCTTTCAGTGTATCTAAATAATTAACTTGCATTTTCTTGTAAATGGAGAGGAGTGGCATAACTATTATATCTCAGTTACAAACGAAATTATTTTTGCTTTGAGTCTATGTCTTAGTTTCTTAGTGTTGCTGTAACAGCAATGGCAAAAGTGAGTGGTTTTAATGAACAGAAACTTATTATTCACCTGTTAGAAGGCAAAAAGTCCTGATTCAAGGAGCCAGTTGTAGGGGAAGGCTCTCTCTACTCTGAAGAGTCTCATGTCTTTTTGGTTCTCTCTACCTGAGTTCCTTGGCAGTCTTCATGTGACATAGCTTGCCACATTTGTGCTTGTTCATTTCTGTTCCTGACCTGGTCTTTAATATCTGAGAAGTGATTGCAGAAATTTTGTACTTGGCTTGCATGCTTACTCTAAGTTGTAATTTACCTGCTATTCAGTAATAATTGGAAGTAAGGGTGATGGTATGTGCTTTTGACTCAGAACTGAACCCCTAGCTGACCCTCCAGCATTTCAGAGGCAGTAAATCCCACAGAAGAGATTGCCCATCTTTTTCCCTTGGAGCAGCTGGTGGATTCAGACCACGTAACTTGGGATTTTAGCACAGCTTCTTATTACTAGGCCACCAGAGCTCCCTTAATTACTTGATAGTCAGCTTGAATTGTACTGAAAGCCTTGCTGTCTACTGAGCGTGGAATAGAAACAGTTTTGATTCCTGCTCTTACAGAGCTCTTACTGAAGAGCAGTGATGTCAGTTTGAAGGCTAAGGTACACCTAATTGTGGTCTTCTCTCAGTCACCTGCTATGCATCAGAGTGCTGCACAGTGAATAAAGATGACAGAAGAAGAATCAATTCCTTTGAGTTGTGCTGGAGAAGAGTACTGAATATCCCATGGACTGCCAAAAGAACAGATAGGTCCTGGGAATGGTGCACCCAGAGCACTCCTTTCACACTTTGGACATGTAGCCAGTTGAGTCTGTTCTTTGGAAAAAGACATCATGTTTGGAAAGATGGAGTGTCAGTGAAAGAGAGGAAGACCCCCAATGAGATGGATTGACACCGTGACTTCAGCAGTGGGGTCTAGTGTCTCAGAGAAGGTGAGGATGACACAAGGTAGGGCAGGGTTCAGGATAGCTGATCATAGAGTCGCTATGATTCATATTCAACTCAGCGACACCTAACAACGAAAACTTACGGAGCTGACTTACTAGTTGCCTAGAGGGAAATCATGAATGCAGTGACACTAGACAAGGTGTGTGTTTCAGTTGAGGGTCAGGGCACAGTGACTGAAAGCAACAACTGTGAAGATGGTGCAAGACCAGGCCTTCCTGCACATAGGGCCCCTCCGTGTAGTTGGGATGGTCTGGATGGCACCTAACAGTATCATGCACTTTGAAGAAAAAGGATACAGTTCTCTGAGATAGACGATGAAAGAAACGGCCTGCCGTATGTGTTAGATCTTATTTTGCAATCCACACAACTCCCGTGAGCATAGTTTCTTGTGCAGACTACATGTTTGTGCATCTTGTTTCCATGCACGTGTGTGTGTTTTAAACAAATATACAATATTCTAAGAAAATGGGCTTCCTTGAAAAATTGGGATTGAACCAAGATGTGCAGAGAGGAAGTTTTCCAGCAGTGTTTTAGATAGAAAAATATGGGCACAGGTGCTGTGCTGGGAGGATTTGCACGAGGCAAAAGGATATGAGAAAAACGGTATGAGATATGACTGGAGAAGCGAGAGCACAGGGTTGTAGAGGGTCCTACACTGCAGGCTATTAAAGGTTTTGGGTTACAAGAGATAATACAGTGAAGAACGTTCAGCAGGTAATGGGAGGGGTGTCAGTATGATGAGGTCATAGTGGTGGGTCTGACTTAAAAGGTCTTCAGGTCACGTAGGAGACCCCACCTAGCCATCTTTCTCGCCATGAGAGAAGTCTCCCTGCTCCAAATTTTCCAGTGGTGGTACAGTAAAATCTAAATGCCTGGGCTTGTCATACATGCCATTTTAGCACTCAGTAGTGCTAGACTTTCCATGCTCTTCTACCAGTTTATGAAGTGTGCATTATGTCTAACCTAATTTTTACTGCAGGGAACCCTAGTGGCCTACTGATAAGAAGTTGTACTGCCAACCCAAAAGCTCACAGTTCAGAGCTACTTGCTCCATGGTAAAAAGATGAGCAGTCTCCTCCTGTGCAATATAATGCCTCTGGAAACCCTCCTATGGGTGAGCCATGGGTTGAATCTGACTCGACAGCACACAACAGCTACTTGGTCTATGCATTTTCTCTTCTGTATAGGTTGCCTTCCTCATTCTTTTTTGTGGGCCTAATGGGCTGCTTTTTTTCAGCAAGGCACAAATCTTTACACTGTCTCTGAGAAACCTTTCCAGACATGCCTCACTTTCTATCCCAGGGAGCTTAAAGTTATTTTGAGTATTCTCTGTATAAACACTTAACACTAGTTTCACAGTGTTATTAACTGCCTACTACTCATTGGCTGTTTAATAACCAGCATGTTGCATTTATGACAATAGTAAAACCGCAGGGTAAGGATGTGATAGTTAAGGCTATATATCACCTTGGCTAGACTATAAGTCAGTGGTTTGACAATTACATGGAGATGCAATTGGATGGTTATGTAATGATGTAGTTATCCTCTGTTTTGTGATCTAATATGGTCATCATGTTTACATGAAAACTATTTTTTAAAAACAGCTTGTTTTTTAAAACCTCACCATGTTGATATATGAGTAATAAGTCTGGTGTTTTGCCTGTCTTTCTCCTTTATCGAATTCTTTGTCATTTGTGATTATCTAATTTATCGTTATTCTTTCTTGCCCACTTCCCTGCCAGGTTCCTGTACATACTGAGTAGGCATTCTGTTTTCTTGTTCAGTCCACTTTATTTTTACCATAATGTTAAACATTTATTGAACACTTAATTTTGCCATGTGTGTTGTCCATTCTGTTTGTCTCTCTTACACACACAATCTGCCTTTGATCTGTTTTACTCATTACTGTGCTTTGTTTTCTTAATTTGCCTTGGCAAATTTTCTCAGATGACACCTTTGCATTTATTGTGCAGACCTTGTGTAGAGGATAATGGTTTGTCAAGTAACTGTTTACTGGAACTCCAATTTCTCTAAGGAAATCTTAAAGCTGGAGTGAATGGTATATGGCTTCACCTTGATTATAGAATGTCAGTGGTAGGTAATGTTAACTCCAAAGTTCAGTTCCATCAGAAATTCCCATTGTACCTGTCAAGGGGCTAACAAGTAGGATTCCCTGGGCAAGATCTCAGAATTTGTATATGTTCCCTTGGTGTACTGTTTTTTAGGTAGTTCCATGTTGACTTGACCATTTTTTTTTCTTTCTAGATAACAGCAAAAGCATCTATTATTTTTGTTACTCTTCAGTACAATGTTACCCTCTCTGCATCAGGTAGGCATTTCCTTCTGTAATTTTCTGTTGTGTCCAGGTAAACAAACATAGATATTTCTATTAATACTAGATTTCACAATTGGATAGAGTATTATTTTGATATGTAATGCAAGAGCTGACTTTGTTGGTTGATTTAACTTTTCTTAAATTCTTTTTGGTTGAGATAATATATATATATATATATATATATATAAGTTTTATTGAAGACCCTCTGAGGTGGATTTATTCAGTGACTGGGGTAATCGGGATGGGTGTGTCAGGCAATGAGATTGGCACAGGATAGATAGAGCACGGTTTCGGGCTGTTGTACATAGGGTCGCTATGAGTTGCAAACGACTCAATGGCACATAACAACAACAACAACAGTGTTTATATATTGTGAATGAGCAAGATTTTATTAAGGAACTTTTTTCCTTTTCTTCCCTATGATCTTGTCTAAAGGAAATTCCAAGAATCGGTATTTCACATTTGTTTAAGTGTCAGCATTTATTCATAGCTTCTAAAGGCATAATGTTTAGATTTGGATTTACGAATTAATGGGGTTTTTTTTACCTAGAACAACAATCCTTTAAACTTGTTGTGACTGTCTGTTGTGTTCAATTTCTTTGAATTCTTTTTATTAGAAAGAACATCAGTGAATCCTAGGTATTATCACCTCATAGCGTCCAAACAAAATATTTCTGTTTTATTTCCAAATTACGCTATCTGAAATAAAGTTATTGAAAATGAGTGAAGTAAAATGCAGTAATTAACTTGTATGATGAAGGATAGGATAGTTGGTTAATAAAATATTAATATATTTTTACAACAAATCTTTTCTAAATTTTTTGTGCCGGCTGTAATAATAGATATACAACATAAAATTGTGGTTTTTTAATTGTTATTGTTCAGTTTTATAGTTTTTTGTTTGTTTAAGTAGGCATAGGGTTGCTCAAAACCACAAAGGTATCTGGAAATTTGGATATGCTGAAGAAGAATAAAACTTAACCAAATCATACCCTAATTATATCCAAACAAATAAGCTTCACAACAACTGATAGCATTTTTGAAAAAGAAAGATATGTTTATAGCCTTTATTTTACTGTGTTTAGTAAGTTCAATTACTTTTTCTGTCAGGATCAAAATATAGTTTTTTGTTTTGAAAATTAGTTGTAGAAAATAGATAGTTTGTCATGAAATGGTAAAGGATTTCAGTAGACATTCCACTTGAGAAAATATTTATAAGGCCACCAAATGAATGAAAAGATACTCAGAATCATTAACTATCAGAGAAATACAAACCAGAACCCAACAACATATTTCATTCCTGCTGCATGATTTAAAATTTGAGTTGTACCCTTTCTCCTGTCTGTTTAATCTATATATTGAGCAAACTATTCAAGAAGCTGGACTCTGTGAAGAAAAATGTGACATCAGGCTGGAGGAAGACACATAAATAACCTTGGATAAGCAGATGGCACACCCTGCTTGCTTAAAGTGAGGAGGACTTAAAGCACTTGCTGAAGAAGATCAAACACTGCTGCCTTCAATATGGATTACATCTCAGTGGCATCAAGAAAACAAAAGTTCCCACCACTGTACCAGTAGACATCATCATGACAGACGAAGGACTGAGACTATAGATAACTTCATCTTACTTGGATCCACAATCAGTATACTTGGTACTATCAGTCAAGAGGTAAGAGACATATTCTACTGGGGAAGTCTGTGGTCAGGGACCTATCCAGATTATGGACGAAGGTAACGTCTTCAGTTTAAGGATTAAGGTGTACCTGATTTGAGATACAATCTTTTCAGTCACTTGCTGTGCATCTGAGAGTTGGACTCTGACTAAAGATGGCAGAAGATGCTTTTGAGTTGTGTTGGACAAGAGCACTGAATATTCTATGGACTGTCAAAAAACCCCAAACAGATATGTGTGTCTTAGAGATGGTGAAGCCAGAATGCTTCTTAGACGCAGAGGCGATGGAGCTTCCTCTCATGTGCTTTGATCATGTTGCTAGGAGAGGCTAATTTTGGAGAGGGACATCATGCTTGGGAAGGTGGAAAAGCAACAAAGGAGAGGTAGAACCTCAACCAGGTAGGTTGACATGGTGACTGTAGCAATGAGCTTGAATGTGTCAAAGATTGTGAGGATGGCAGAAGATAAGACATTGCTCAGACTTGTTCATAAACTGCTATAGTTTTGTACTAGACTCAGTGGCACCTAACAACAACAGAATGGTTAAGATTCAAACAAAACAAAACAAGTGACAGTTTGAATCCACCAGCTGCTCCACAGGAGAAGAATGGGCAGTCTCCTTTCTTGGAATTTACTGCCTCCAAAAACCTGGAAAACCTCTGAAAAGCTATGGGTTGGTTCTGACTCAGCAGCACACAACAATGTAACTGCATTGCCAGTGGGGAATCAAAATGGTACAACATTTGTGGAAAACATTGATGATTCTACAAAGAACTAGCATATACCTAGCAATTCCACTTCTAGATAGAGAACTAAGAGACTTGAAAGCAGAGACTCAAGAGATTTGTACAGTAGAGTTTATTACAGCACTCTTGACAATAGTAAAAAAGTGGAAATAATTTTAATGCCCATTAGCATATGAATGGATAACAAAATTTGGTACCTACGTGCAGTGGAATGCTACTCAGTAGAAGAAAGGAAGTCTTGATACATCTACAGTATAAATGGAGACAGATAAGAGCCTTAAGGAGTGCGTTTATGTTCATGGAGGAGGAAGAAAGCAAAAGGAGGGTGAAAAGGTTTCTAAAGTTCCTGGGAAGAAACAGGTCAGTGGGTTAACTTTGTTTACCTGATCTGTACCCCCAGGATAATACTAATTTTATAACCTTGCTAAGGATCTTAGCGTGACCACTCCTCCGCTGTTTTTTGTGGGGGTGAAGGGGAGTTGTTTGTTCTCTGATGGCTGGTATTAACCTGTGTCAAGTCTTCATAAGTAATTTCTGCAGCTTTCTTGATGGCCTTCTCAATTTCTATAGTCTCTAAGGCTTAAGATGTCTAAAAACAAATTACATATATAGAATTTAATTATTAGCTTAACCTAATTTTCCTTGTTTCTAACTATGCTATACTTTCAGTGCTGTTTTTATAATCTTATGTGAATTTGTGTTTGTATGTCCTTTATAATTTACAGAAGAACAAGCCACAGAGTCAGTATCTCGTTACTACTATGGTATTAAAGATTTGGCTACAGTTTTCTTCTACATGCTTGTGGCAGTAATTATTCATGCCATAATTCAAGAATATGTGTTGGATGTAAGTATACAACTTTAGAAATCTATAGATAACAATGGTTCTTATGATATGATGGCAATTTGTTAAATACATTTCATGTCATAATTTTAACTATAAATGGCTTTTGTTATTTTCAGAAAATTAACAGACGAATGCACTTCTCCAAAACAAAGCACAGCAAGTTTAATGAGTCCGGTCAGCTCAGTGCATTCTACCTTTTCTCTTGCATTTGGGGCACATTCATTCTAATCTCTGTAAGTATATCCTGTGCTTAACATTCTCAGATCTCAAAATACTGTGATAAATACAGACACAGGTGGTTATGTTCTTAAGTAAATCCTAAACATAAAGGTTTTTTATTTATCTTCTTAGCTTTAAAAACAAACCATACCAAACAACTGCACTTCTGTTCTCATCCTTTTTTCTTTACCCCAGACTAGTAAGAGTTAGAGAGACCCTAAGTAAACATCTCTTTCAGTTCTTCTAAAACAAAAATTCTACACTATGTTTAGAAGGGGTCGTGGTACTAGAGATATTGTAGCTGATGTTAGATGGATCTTGGCTGAAAGCAGGGAATACCAGAGGAATGTCTATCTGTGTTTCATTGACTATACAAAGGCATTTGACTGTGTAGATCATAACAAACTATGGCTGACTCTGAGAAGAATGGGAATCCCAGAACACTTGATCGTTCTAATGCGAAACTTAAACTTGGACCAGGAGGCAGTCGTCAGAACAGAGCAAGGGAACACTGCATGGTTCAAAATTGGGAAGGGCTTACGCCAGGGATGCATCCTATCTCCATACCTTTTCAACCTATATGCAGAACAGATTATCCGGGAGGCTGGGCTCTATTAGGAAAAATGTGGGGTCAAGATTGGTGGACGATTTATCAGCAATCTGTGTTATGCGGATGACACAACCCTGCTTGCTGAAACTGAAGAGGACCTGAAGCGCCTCCTGCAGAGTGTCAAGGACTGCAGCCTACAATATGGATTGAGGCTCAGTGTCAAGAAGACAAAGATTCTCACCACTGGACCAATTGGCAGCATCAGGATGGATGGTGAAGAGATTGAGATTGTACACAGCTTTAGTTTGCTTGGCTCCATAGTTAACTGTCTTGGCACCAGCAGCCAGGAAATTAAAAGGCGCATTGCCATGGGAAAGTCTGCGGTTACGGACCTCTCCAAAGTGCTGAAGAGCAATGGTGTCTCTTTGGACACTAAGGTGCGTCTGATACAGGCCATGGTCTTCGCAATCACCTGTTATGCGTCAGAGAGTTGGACAATGACCAAGGAGGATAGAAGGAGAATTGATGCCTTTGAGCTGTGGTGCTGGAGAAAAGTATTGAGAATACCATGGACTGCTAGGAAAACAAACAGATTTGTCCTGAAAAGGGTTAAACCGGGTGGCTCCTTGGAGGCAAAGATTCTGAGGCTCCGTCTAACATACTTTGGACATGTTGTGAGGAGGGACCAGTCCCTGGAGAGGGACATCATGCTTGGGAGGGTGGAGGGACAGCGCAGGAGGGGAAGGCCCTCTATGAGGTGGATTGATTCAGTGACTGGGATAATTGGGATGGGAGTGTCAGAGACAGTGTGATTGGCACAGGACAGAGCGGAGTTTAGGGCTGTTGTACATAGGGTCGCTATGAGTCGCAAGCGACTCGACGGCACATAACAACAACAACAACATGTTCTAAAAGTTTGAAAATGCCTTAACAGCTGGACTTCTGTTCTCATCTTTTTCTTCATCCCAGATTAGTAAGAGAGAGTAAGTAAACGTGTCTTTTAGTTCTTTTGAAACAAAAATTCTACACTATGTTCTAAAAGTTTGAAAACGCTTAGTCACAGCCTATCTGAATGTCATGTCAGTATTGTGTAGACGCGCAGATCTCCCCATATTTTTCAAAAGCCTATCTCAGTATCATTTAGTATGGTTACACAAGTTGTACTGTTTGAAGACATTGCCTCCTTTCAAATCAGCAGAGGTGTTTTTTATAACTTTACAGGTATGATTTTTCAGGTAAGGGAATGAGTACTTTCCTTTTTCTAACCAAAGACAAAAAGACAGTATCTGCTTAGTACTTCTTGCTGTTAGGGACCACGGAGTCAACTGACTCATACCTATGAATATCAGACCTGAATCCTGGCCTGTCCTGTGTTGTCTCACCATCTGTGATACAAGTGAGCCCATTGCTGAAGTCACCGTGTCCGTCCATCCCGATGAGCAGCTCCTTCTTACAATGACCCTCCGCCCATCTAAGCATGGTATCTTGTTCGAAGGAAAGCCTATTTTAGCAACATGTCCAAAGTACGAGAAATGAATCCTTGTTCTCCTTGTCTCCAAGGAGCACTCTGGCTGTAGCAATTCACAGTTTACACATTTTTGTGCTTTGTTAAGATACCCTTTTTAATAACCTCAGTAACAGTGAATAAATAGGTGAACTTTCCAGGGGAAAATAATCTTAGAAATAGTTTAAAACTCAGTATTTAACTTTTGCAATCCAGTACTCATTCATTTTACTTCAATTCTTTATAAATACACTAAAGCTGTAGCTTAAAATCTATAATAATTTTTTTTTAAACATAAACCTATTTCAGCCATTTTCAGCAAAAAGAAAAATCTTACTTAAGATAAGTCACATTAGATTACATGCATTAATTTTGACTGGATAGAGAACCTAATCTGATTATCTTCTAGCTATCTAAGGAAAAGGTTTGCTTTATTTGTGGACAGACATACATCCATAAATGTGGCAGTATCCTGATCCCACACCTCTCAAGTACTTCGTCTTTCCTTAGACCCATCTCATTACTGGAGGCAAAATTGCTTTCTCCCATAGCTTTCATCCCTTTGTTGTCTACCAGTTCAGTTTTTGGTTGGTGTACGTTTGTTTGTATACTTTCCCCCTCCTCTGTGAGATTGAAAGATTTTTTAAGGCCAAGAATCATTTCTTGTTTGACTTTGAATTGCTCACATTGATATTTACTTAGCCAAGATAAATAGTTCAAGTGAAATTGAAAAGAACCAAACAAGTTTGACTTATGGATGCTCTTTGGAAACTGAAACAGGAATTGTAAGTACAAAAAGTGAATTATAGACTAATCTTTGTGTGGTTTTTTCCTTAGGAAAACTACATCTCAGACCCAACTATCTTGTGGAAGGCTTATCCCCATAACATGATGACGTAAGTTATTTTAGCAGGCCTTTCTTACTTAAGGACCAGAATCTTGTCAGTTTTAAGCAAATGTGTTTCTTGTTACTCTGTTTAGGACTTTGACAAATTCCTACACAAGTGAAAATACGTCTTTGCAGTCCCATTGCAGTAGAAAAGAGCTTTTGTATACTTTCTTGATGCCTATAATCTTTTCAGCCATTTTCTGAAGTGTCTGTACACTGTTGAAAGGAGCTCCAGGGCTGCCTCAGCATTTATTCCTTCTTCAAGTCCTGCTCTCTACCCTCAGTCTGGCTTGGGATTTTGAGATAATTTTCTTCGGTTAGCCTATTTTGATCTTTTGTGTCTCTGCATTTGTCATTTTGGATCTCGGGATTGTATGTAGTAGCTGTACATGGTCCTGACTGTTTGCTATGAGTCTCTGGTGTTGTACCAATGCCCATGACCACCAGGACTATACCTGCTTTGAAAGCAATAGCAACCATCTCTTACTTTTCTTTCTTTAGATTTTTACTAAGGAAATACTCAGTGCTCTTCATTGTGATGGAAGAAAAATAGATGAGAAAGAAAGGAAGGAATAACATGACCATGCATATCTTTGCATTAAGTCTGATAGAAATATTCACTCTGCCAAGTCCTCCTGTGATATTTTGTTAAAAGAAATTGTTTATATTATTTGAACATTTATTAAAAGAAGTATTAACACAACAGTGAATGACTGGAAACCCTAAGTCTCTGTAAACTTAAGAGTTATGAACAACTGTACGGTGCCTTATCCATAGGCAGTTGTGCTGTTAATCCAAAGGCTTCGTTCATCTCTTGTGGTTCAAATTCACCAGTGGCACCAAAGGAAAGCGGTAAGCAGTATCCTCTTGTGTGATTTACAGCCTCAAAAACACAATGGAAAATCAACCGTGAGTCTGTGTCAGCTCAACTGCAGTGAGTTGAGAGCGTTTTCCTCCAGGAGTTATTTTGGATTGGTTTTGTGTTTTCTCTATTGGAATACCAGAATAGAGAGCATCAGAGGGAAGAAGAGAAAACAGAAGTACTAAGGGTGTAATGTACAAAGGAGAAAAGTGTTCTCTTTACTCCTGACTTAATGAAATAGGGTTGCCATATTTCCCTAAGGAAAATGTCAGAGGGTATTTTAAATTAAAACTGTCCAGTTTCAAGTGATAGGTGACTCTCAGAGCCTTCACTTTTGTGTCGGTCTTCTCCCACCTCCCCATCCCCTTTTGATGAATCCTAATGATGTTGTGCACTGTTTAGTCGTGACTAATTCATAGCTGATCCTCCTGCTGGTTTCCAGAGGCATTTAATCACACAAGAGGGTGTTACCGTCTTTTTCCCTGGTAGCTGCTAGTGGATTCAAATCGCTTGCCTTTGATTTGGCAGCGCAGTTCTTTACCATTAAACCACCAGAGCTCCTTGATGAAACTGAATGAATTGTTCCAAGAATTGATTCCCTCTGAGTCATGTACCTTATGCTTCTTGTAGCTAATGCAACATAATAATCAGTATTAATTAAATAAGAAATTGGGACTCCGGTTTCTCTCACATCACTTAATGGTTAGTAATAGCCTTTTGTGATGTTTTTCTTCTGTTATTTAAGCCAAGAGAATTTAAGCAAGCTTGTTGCAGAGTTTAGTTTAAAGATACACAGAATATTATAATTGATCTGAAGTTATGATGCAACGATAGTTTTTTGTTAACCTGATATCCAGTATTGATTACTTCCAATTAAAAAAAAATTTTAAAAGATGTCTTTTACTTCTTGTGTTGTGCAGATTTCAAATGAAGTTTTTTTACATATCACAGTTGGCTTACTGGCTTCATTCTTTTCCTGAACTCTACTTCCAGAAAATAAAAAAAGTAAGTTGGGACTGGACTTGGGTAGTTTTAAAAATTTATCCTGCTATTATTTTTTTTCTTTAAAAGTTTTTCTCAAGTATTTTTTCACATCTTATTTCTCTACCTTCCTTAAAGACAAAATCCTTCAGTATTTTTTTAAAAAATCTTTAATCATTATTTTAATTTACAGGAGGCTCTTTTGCATCCAATGTGCTGATTGTTCACTAAAAAAGTTTCTTAGTGGTAAATTTTTAAATGTACATGTAAATACATATTTTTAAGTAAAAAAAATGATTTCTTATCATTGGTAGTATTTGCAGTCGTTCATTTCACAAGCACAACAAAACAGACTTGTCATCTTTCCCAAGCGCTAACAGTTCTATATGTAAGTCCCAAGGAAAATTCAGTGTTGAAAAAATAAACTGTGGTTAAATATTCACTAGTGAATAGCCTTTCCTGAAATGGGTGGAGCAATCCTTTTTTAGCATGTGGGAAAGATGTTTGTTTATTTGAACAAATATGTCAGCTGAAGGGTTTGTAATAATGTTGGTTTGAATTTTACCTTCAAGTGCTTCAGTAGTCAGACTTTGATGACGCCACAGAAGTCAACATGATCCTTAAATCAAGCAGCTGCCCAGTGATAAATTGAATCAAGCGTATTTATTCTTTCTTTTCCCCTCCTGGAGGTTCTGGAAAAAAAAAATGACACCAAAAAACTCCATAAATGAAATGTGTAGACTTTTAAATTTCAAATAATTTTGAATGGGGAAGGTGTATGAGGGTGTAGGTAGAACAAGAAGTTTGGACTTGAGGTAATAACTATTAAAACTAAAGTTACAGGGAGAGTCATTATGTGTTCTGTATATTTCATGTATGCTTATGTTTTTCCATCATTAAAAAGATTATTTGAAAATCTTTTTGTTAGAAAACCTTCCCACTTAAGATTGTGCCAATTAGTGACCGTCTCAAATGCTACAAGCCAAATAGATAAACTGTGCAGAGTTAATTAGTGGAAATTGACACTTGATTTATTACAGTTTTGTATCATATAAAATAATGTGCCACATATCTGCCATTATTGATATTACCTGCTAATGTTAAATAATAACACCAAATTAGAGGTCACACACTTTTTATGTTGTTTTATAAGTTGGAATCGTTTTCCATTTAAATTGACTCTTAAGAATATACATAAAGATAGTCTCAAAATTTTTAACCTTTGACTTAGAATTATCTTAAGATTACTCACTCACTGTGATCTGGTCGGAATCAGCTGATCGTCCAGTGGGTTTCTAAGTCTATAAATTGCACAGGTGGAGATTGCCCATCCTCCTGTGGAGCAGCTGGTGGATTCCAGCCTCCAAAGAGGTGAGGCCTTTGGATTAGCAGTGCGACTCCCTTTGTTGGATTACACCAAGTAAAATGGTTACATCTGCAGTTTTTCAAATTAGTACCAGGCACCTTCAAGTCAACTTCTACTTAACGCTATCTGGTGTATATCATAGTTTAGAGGACTGTGGATGGATTCAAACTTCCCTTTCAGTTATCAGCCAACCATGTGAGCCATTTACAGCACCCAGGGACTCCTGTCATCCAGTAGCCTTTCCATATTTGAATGACTGACTCCCTGCCATTGAGTTCATGCCGATTCAGAGCCACCCCCTCAATCAGGTTTCCGAGGTTAACAAGATCTTAATAGGAGAAGAGCCCCCATCTTCATTCTGCAGTGCCTGGTGGATTTGAACTGCCAGAGACACACGGCCTTTTAGTTAACGGCTTAACGTGCGACAGACTACACTATCAGAGCTCCTCCTTGCCTATTTATATTTAGTGAGGCCCTAAATTAAACCAGAAGGATGTTCTGGTGGCATAGTCCACAGAGTGCAGCTGCTAACTCAAAGGCTGCACCTCTCTGGAGAATCTAGTCCACCAGCTGTTTCATGGGAGAAAGATGGACAGTCTGCTCCCATGCCGTTTACAGCCTCTGCAAAGCCCAGTGGAGGGTCAGTTTCTGAGTTGAGTGGACTTGGAAGTATACCGTAGTTCTCCTAGAACTTCATTATCCTAAACAATAGCCATTAGCTTCATATGACTGCTTAATTTTAAATAATTAAAATTAACAAAATTAACTTTTAAGCCACATGTCATGTTCTCATGTCACCAGCAGTTACCATTTTAGGCAGCAGAGCTTTTTCACTGCAACAAGTTCTGCTGAACAGTGCTGCTGAGAATATAATCTCTTGATAATATTAATTGTTGCTGGCTGCTGTATAATTGACCCAAAATTCATGACAAACCCATTCACAGTCATGGGGATCCATAGGGTTTTCACTGGGTAAGTTTTCAGGAATAGTTTACCAGACCTTTTTTCCTAGTATGTCTTGATCTAGAAGCTCTGCTAAAACTGTTTAAAATCATAGTAACTTAAACCTCCACTTTTAGGCAGGTAGTGGTTGTACGTGTGACATTATTAGCTGGGACGCCAATTCAGGTCTCCCATTTGGAAGGTGAACATTCTGTCACTTAATGTATTAAAGCTCTTTTCAAATATTTGTATACCCATGAACTTAATACCTTTTGGTTTCATTATTAATCTCTCTGCCTACATGCTGTTCATTGACCATGAAAAAAAGAGGTGTTTGAAACTAATTGTTCCTTTTCATTCCCAAAGCTCTTACCCGTTCTTGCCAGATGGCATTTCTCCAGAAATGGAGTCTAATTTTTATGGAATAATCTGCATAATTTAGAACGTAACTAAAACTATTTTTAACACCTACAGATGATAGTCGAAAAGTGACTGTTTCAAGTAATTAACATAATTTGAAAGTAACAGCTGCATATGTGTTAAACTGCTTCTTAAAATTTACTCTATGAAAATTATTCTTTGAAGACATTTTTACTGGAAGAAATTAATACAGTGATTGCTTTGAACATATCCTAGGGATAATGAAGGGAAAGAGGAGTGATATTAGAGTTCAGTGGGTGTGCTGGTCTTTGTAACACAGAATCAGATTTAAGAGAGGGGAAATATGTTAATCACAAATAACATTCTTTTGAGGAGAGAAATTTAAATTTCTCCACATCCATTGTTTGTTTCAATATAAGGAATCCTATACCCAGAAGATTCAAGGCACTACTTCTTAACCACTTTGAATACTCGATCAGTTCCTCTTTTTTTTTAAATACTCAGTTTCTTAGCAAAGTATAGATTATAGTCACTATTCTGTTTCCAGTATTTGGTTTAGTTCTACATACATCTCATTATTACATCTCATGTTGTGTTCCTGTGCAGTGACATAAAGCAAATAAGCAATCCCCATTAATATATGTAGGGAAATTAGTTCAGCATTTCCAGGCTCCCAAAATAACGTGTAAAAATTAAAACAGTATTTAGTGCTCAACAAGACTATTCAAAGTCAGGTGGCTTGAGAAGCTGACTGGAGTTTCTAGGGAAGGAACTTGGCATCCCCACTCTCACTGCCACTTTCAAGTCTTTTATGTCAAAGTCTATATTACAGTCTTATATCAAAATATGCTCAACATAGTTTTGTTTTACCCCTTTGTTAAAAAATCCAAAAACCCTTTTCGACTTTGTTTCAATTAGCAAAAGCAAGGATACTAATGGAAGTCTTCAATAAAAGTGCAGAGACATGAGGTGACCTTTGGCAGGGTGAGGATACTTGTCTGATAATAGAAAGAATGCTTTCTAAAGAATTTCCACCTCATGAAAGTTGCAGTCACACTTTTCATGTGTAGTTTGTATAACAATATCTTGTCAGTCATCACTAGAGCCACTTTTTTGTTCATCCAGCAGTTTTTCTAGAATGCATAATTTTTCTTGTTTGGGGTTTTTTTATAGTTTATTCTCCATCATAAGGAGTGCTAGGGCATGGTACATAGCATATCATACTGCTAATTGAAAGGTAGGCATTTTTAATCCACCAGTAACTTCCCAAGAGAAAGAGGGACAGTCTCCTACCTTGAAGGTTTTGAATCTTGAAAATCCAGTGAAGGTCACTATGAGTCCTTCATGTCAACTCCAACAATCCTTTGGGACAGAGTTGAGCTGCTGGGACGGTTTTTTGGGCTGGAAATCTTGACAGCAGCAGACTCATATTTTCTTCTTCCGAAGAACAGCTGGTGAGTTCAAGCTTCCAGTCTTGGAGATAGCAGCCAGGTGCCGTACCATCCTCCATGAGGATTCTTGTGCAATAATGCAACACCTTTGTAAATAATTCGGTTTATTTAATAGCAAATCAAAGAATGTTGTTACATATTGCCTAAAGTCATTCTCCATAGTGCAATGATTTACTAACTACTTTGAAAGACTTAAAGTGTTTCAAACACTTAGAGTGGAGATTTTTATTTCCATAGCTTATTTACAGCACACTCGTTTGTTGAAATAAAAGAAAACAGGTCCCCTTGTGGATGAATTTTAAAGTTTTTACCCTTTTATTTAGTTTGTACCCTTTTATTCTCCTTGAAAGTTTGAAAAATCATGTAGAGAGCTTATTTTCAGAAATCCTTCTCGCTCTACTGTAGATTTGTGATGTCTTGGGAATTTTTTCCCCCAAGAATTCCCACATCAGAGCCTTCAGTTCTATTCAGATTGTTTTGTATATTTTTAATAGTAATATTGTATTTCCATACCACTCCTGTTAAAGAAGAGTGTTCCATTTCAAAGTTAATATGGTAAAATCTGTTCTGTCTCAGAAGATCTAATGAAGTAGCTCTCCTAAAGTGTAGGAAGCACAATGAAAAGCCAAGAAAAGACCTCTCTATAAGTATAGTAGATGCAGAGGGTGAATTTAATGAGTAATAAACTCATTCATATTCTGCCTACATCAGTCTACCGTTTAATAATTGTAGTTGGTAACCATAGTTCATGCTATGTGCTGCTGACTTCATGTCAGCTCCTAGTGCCAGTATGCCAGAGTAGGGTAGATCACCCCCAGGATTCCCTCAGCTATGGTCTCTATGGGAGAAGTTGACCAGGTCTCTATTCCCTCACCCCATGGAGATACTTGGTGAGTTGGAAGCACCAATTTTTCAGTTCACATAACCATTGTACCACCAGGGCTCTTTTGAATTACACTAATGAAGCTTATAAAGAAAATTGCCAGTAATATAAAGAAGAGAAATGAGGTGTGAGCATTTCATTGATCATCAAGTGTTGATTGGACTCTGAAGAGTGCACGTTTTCATATGTCCTTCCCCCTCCCCCCCCCCGCAAGCTAGGATTCTAAAAAGTAGATGCTATTACCAATTCATACATGTTTGGAAAATGAATTTTTTACATCTGCTTTATACAGCGGTTAAGATAGTCGATTGTTAATAAAAAGGTCAGCAGTTTTAACCCCCCATGTCTTTGTGGGAGAATCATGTGACACACAGCCTTCTTCCATAAAAATTTGGGCCTCTAGAGTCCAGGAACTCTGAGGGCCACTGTCAACCCAAAGACAAGTAGTTCAAGTCCACCCCCACCAGCTGCTTCCTGAGAGAAAGATGAGGAGTCTTCTCTTGTGCAATTAACTGGCTCTGGAAACCAGCTGGAGGGTCAGCTGTGGGTCGGCTCCATCTCAAGGGCACACAAACGACAACAACCACATGAGTCAGAATCAACTTGACAGACTTGGTCAGTGTATGTGTCTGTGTGCCGTTTCATTTATTTTAAAAGATAATGCTGTGATCCTGTAAATGATTTCCATAATCTGCTAATTGCTTTTGATTTATAGTTTTAAAAATACTTTTCTAAAATAACCAGGACATGTAACTCCCATGGGGACGGTAGGTGTTGGAAGCAGGAAGCAGAAAGTAAAATCTGGGTATTTGGGCTTAACAGGATTATAGCGATAACAATTAAGCGGTAACATAAGTTGATAAGAAAATTTAAAAGTTTAACCATCAGCTTCAGTGACTGTAGCATAGAAAAGGACACAAAAACATCAGCTTAAAAAATGTGAGCTGTAGGTAAAAGTTGTGCTGCTGTAGACCTCACTTTCCACACTAGACCATCCAGCAGCTGGTCAGCGTATAATTGTGGCTCTTGATAGTGTGATAGGTGGTATATATCTTAACGAGAATCTCAGAGCCGAGTACCAAAAGACATTGTAAGTTCATCTGATTCAAGCAAGCCCAGGTATTCACATTTTATACAGATTGACTGTGTTACACGACTTGTTTAGACCATGTGGCAAATGGGCATTTGCAGTACCTTTATTCTAAAAATAGAAGAGTCTTCTATTACCTTTGTCACTCTGCCACACTGCTCTTTATTTATTTTTTTAATTCCTCCTTTCTCCTCCTCCCACTAAAAAAAGTCAGCATGTTGTAAACTCTAATTCTTTATTCTGTCTTCACAGGAAGATATTCCTCGCCAGCTTGTCTACATTGGTCTTTACCTCTTTCACATTGCTGGAGCTTATCTTTTGAAGTGAGTGAGGACTTATCTTGGGAGGGTGTCTGTGGAGTGAGCAGGTAGTGTGCTAATCTATGTCAATTGTTAATTAACCTTTTCATTTTCAATTTTTCTTTTTAACAGCTTGAATCATCTCGGACTTGTTCTTTTGGTGCTTCATTATTTTGTTGAATTCCTTTTTCACATTTCCCGCCTGTTTTATTTTAGTGATGAAAAGTATCAGAAGGGGTAAGTCTCTTGGCCATTTTGTTTCTTGTCCAGCAGAGGTACTTCTTAAATATCTGGCTTGCCAAAGGCCTTGATGCAGAGAATTGTGTTATTTTATAATCTTCAGTAAATTAAAGCTTTTCCACAGTGCACGCTCTTTTGTGCTCTAAAATGGAGTCTATTCAGCTGTTAGATACTATATTAAAAAACCAGGAAAATAAGCTTGTCGCTATCTAGTTGATCCCATCTCATAGCAACCCTATAGGACAGAGGAGAACAGCTACCCAGTAAGGTTTCCAGGACTATAAATGTACATGGAGGAGATTGCTTCATCTTTATACCTCAGTCTCCAAAAACTGCATTAGAATTTAGCCATTTTGAAAAAGTTTTTTGCTTTTCTCTTAAAACCTCTTTTATCTTGTTTACTGCATGTTTTTCTTTTGGAGAAGAAATAATAGAGAAATGAGCTTCCAGAAGGTAATTAAATAGTAGACTTCAGAAACTTTTTTTTTTTTTAATTATATTTTATTAATTTTCATTAACATTTACAGAGATTTTGGGCTTCCACTCATTCATTGTTGCACTATTCTCTCTACCCTCCTCCCAGTTTGTTCTTGTCCAAATGCCACAGTGCTTGTCAAAGCCAGTTCTGATTAATCTTCTTTGTCAGTGTGTCCTTTGCCATTCCCTATCACTCCTCCCTGAGAGAGACTTCACCCTGAGTCATAAGGAAAAGGGGATGGCGTATTCTCTTAGCTACTTCCTGCTGAAAAGGGACGCTGTGGGTTTCAGGGTGAAGATCTTCTCTCACTACAGACTTCAGAATCTTAAGATCGGGATTCTAATCTCCTCCCCTGTGATTTATTGCCTCTGAAACCCCACTGCAATATCAGCTTTGAATCTATTGCAGCTCAGTGGCATACCACAACAAAGGAAAATTAATCTAAACCCAGTATTGGAGTGCTAGGATTATAAGTAATATAATACCTTTTTTTAAAAAAAGAAAGGGAACTCAAAAGGGAATTCTGTATCTAGTTTGAGTACTCACTTTCTTAGCAGAGTATGCTTAAAATGGCCAATTATTTTTAATATTTGATTTAGTGACGCATACAGGGAAATGAGGTCGGTAAATCATTGTAAAGCAAAAGGACATTTAATTAGCTAGAGTATAATTTTTTTCTGGAGTCCTCTGGTCTTTGTGATTGTATGAATTTTGACTTAAGATCTTTCCCAACAGGTTTTCTGTGTGGGCAGTACTGTTTGTTTTGGGACGACTTCTGACTTTGATCCTTTCGGTGCTCACTGTTGGATTTGGCCTTGCAAGAGCAGAGAATCAGAAGCTTGATTTGAGTAATGGAAACTTCAACATACTGGCCATTAGGTACAGTTGACTTAACACCTTTCTCCCTCACTGATGATAATACGTGTTTGCATGGCTTAATGTCTGTCTGGGCAACATCCAACCACATTTGTGTCTGTGGTCCTTGAAGACTAGGGGTGGATTGGTTGCTTGGTTTTAATTTTTAAAAGGAAAGCAGCTTCCTCTTTAGTATTTACCCCTAATGGTTTTAAAGATCTCCAATTGCCCAAGTGAACAAGTGGCAGGGCTGCGGATGCTCCTGGCCTCTGGAGCACTGCTTCCTCCATAGGTCTTCCTCTGCCTTCTCCCTCCCCTCTTAACTTCATTCACCCATCACCATTCACTTACTGCAGCAGCTGCACCAGTCCTAGCATCGGTGCTCAGGGTGCTCCAGGGTCCCAGTGACAATGGCTGTACCAGCAAGGCAGTGGCAGGCTGAACTACTCCACCACCTGTGTTCTGAGCACCCGCAGTGGTGGCAAGCCGGGCTACCCCACCACCTGTGTTCCGAGCACCCGCAGTGGTGGCAAGCCAGGCTACCCCACCACCTGCGCTCCGAGCACCCGCAGTGCACTCTGCACCTGGTCCTCACAGCCACATCTCTGCGACCTCGTGCTTCCACACTTCAGAGAGTCTGGCTGCCTGTGCGGCCTCTGCTCAGCCTTCTGGACCCCTATATCCATCTAGTCTCAGACTATCTGCTGGGCTCTTAGAAGTCTTTAATACAATAAACTTTATGGGGCTTTTATTATAGATTGTACAAGAACTGCCTACCTGTAATAGATTGTAAGTATAACATCAAAATTGCACAATGTCTTGTTTTCTGGAGCGTATCATGGACACTAAGTGATGAACCTCTGTGTCTGTTACCAGTTTCTCTGATGAGAATCATCTAAGGGACAAAGGGATAGTTAGAGAAGGGGTAGGGAAAATAGTATGATTTCATTTCATATTTGTTGCAGTTATGCATGTCTCAATTGAGATACTAAAGAATTTAACTTCTGAGGGAAATGATTCAGGAACTAATTTCTTACTAGCATAATGTTGTAGGCAGAGTGGGAATTTTAGTACTAGTTGTGTTTTGTAGTACCTTCCATGATTATAATTGGATATGAAATATTACTGTAAAGATTTTTTATTTTACTTTACCTTCATTATTCTAAGATAAGGAAAAAGCAAATGGTTTTGATTTGTTCTGGAAACCTTAGTCATGTTTTATTCAAAGCAGATTATTTGAGTGAGTCAGTCATCCATACAAAGTAAACAAGGAAGTGAAAATCAGTAAATAAAAAGACCCTTCATCTAGTCCCTACTCAAAAAAAAGAAATATAAAATTTTATCAGAAAATGTAACTGTATTTTGTAATATATTTAATAGTCTATTCTTCAGTAAGGAGGAAGTTGAATAAATAGCATTGTTTCTGTGCTCTCTCATTTTTATTTCTGCATGTTCTCAGAATTGCTGTTCTGGCCTCCATTTGCATTACTCAAGCCTTCATGATGTGGAAGTTTATTAATTTCCAGCTTAGGAGATGGAGAGAACATTCTACATCTCAGGCACCAGTTGTGAAGAAGAAGCCAACAGTGACGAAGGGCAGATCTAGAAAAGGAGCAGGTGTGTGTTCAGTAAACATGAAAAACTCATGAACGTAAAAATACTTCTTCAAAATTGTAATGTCTTAGCAAATCATGCAAAGACTGTTTTATTTTCTCCATTTGAAAGTCCAAATTTGGGGTACCAGCTTTCTGGGAAGGTTTTCTTTGTCAGCTCTTGTCAGAAAAACTTCTTGTCTCTGAGCTTCTACGTTACTGTTTTTGTTTTTGTTTTTTTCTCGTAACCCACTTGACACTACCATTGCAAAGATAACTCGTTTCCAGATGGAATTATAGCAGCAGTCATGGAGGTTAAGATTTACTGTTTGTATTTTGGTAAGACACGCAAAACACCCTGGCTGGACCTTCTGGTAGGGGTGCTGTTACTGGGTGCTCAGCCCAGTGGGTTTTGTAGCCTGTGGTCTTTACAGGAGCAAGTCATCAGGTGTTTCTGAAGCCTTTTAGTGAGCTGCTGTGTGTGGCCACTGCGCCACAGTGCTGCTTCCAGTGTTAAAGAGAGGGGCAGAAGTAGACACTGATTTCTGGTCTTGATAATTTTGTATTCCTAATTTCTTAGTATTTTTATCCTGAAAAGGTGTTGATTTTTCTTTTTTTTTTTACGTCAGCGATTTTTTAAATGAAAACAGTTTTATCTATGCACAACTTTTTTTTCTTTTATCATGTCTTTTTTTAATGCAACACATTTTTTTTACTCCAGTTCTTTCTTTCCCTATTCTTTCATTGTTGCACATTTTCCTCTTTGCCCACTCCTCTCTCCCACCCCGCCCTGTTCACTTTTCTCTTTGAAAAGGGCGAAAAAAAAAATTCCTTCATTGTTATATAATCCCCCTCTGCCCACCCCAAGTCCACAGTCCACTTTAGTATATATTTCTTTTTCTGGAATCTTGTCATGAAAATAATACCTAATCCTGTATTTCTTTTAAACAGTTGTATCTCTCTTCTGTTTCAGTGCAGTGTATATTATTTATCCCCTCTTTTCTTGATTCCCCCGAGCCCCAATGTCAGTCATATTTTTACAGCAGTGGCATTATGCAGTATTTGTCCTTTTGTGACTGAGATACTTCACTCAACATAACGTCCTCCAGGGTCACCCATTTTGTATAATAATTCATGAGTTCCTTGGTTTTCAATGCAGCATAGTATTCCATTGTGTGAATATACCACAGCTTCTCTATCCATCCGTTTTTAATGGAGGAGTGTTGAATTTTTCACATTCTTTTTGTCTTTGGAGATTGTGTTGTTTTCATCACTTAACTCTATTCATGTAATAAATTAAATTTTCAAATAGTAAACCAACCTTGCATTCCTTGGGTAAATTCCAGCTGCTTGTGTTATATACTCATTGCTGGATTTGGTTTGCTGGTTTTCTTGGAATTTTTTCCTCCATTAAGGGATATTGGTGTAGATTTTGTTCATGTATGATATGCTAGGTTTTTCCTAACATAGCATATCATACATGCTAGGAAAAACCTATGGGAAAGTCTGCTGTTAGGGACCTCTCCAAGGTGCTGAAGAGCAGTGGTGTCTCTCTGGAGACTAAGGTGCGTCTGATACAGGCCATAGTCTTTGCAATCACCTGTTATGCATCAGAGAGTTGGACAATGAC